CTTGCTTGCTAAAAGTACAAACGATTTAGGCCACCCTATTCTCTAAGTGCATGCTAGTGTGGCATAGCAACCTTGTTGTAAGCAACAAAAATGTTGTTTATTCCACAGGTGTCTGCCACGCGGAAGGCCCACACACTGTTCAACAAACTCTTGAGCTACACTGAGGTACTATATGTTGGCTTTTTCGCAACTCTGTTTGTATTCGAACCCTCTAACTTGATATCTTAACCTTTTCCTCCTCAGTACTATATGTTGGCAACTCTGTTTGTATTCGAACCCTCTAACTTGATATCTTAACCTTTTCCTCCTCAGTACTATATGTTGGCAACTCTGTTTGTATTCGAACCCCCTCTAACTTGATATCTTAACCTTTTCCTCCTCAGTACTATATGTTGGCAACTCTGTTTGTATTCGAACCCTCTAACTTGATATCTTAACCTTTTCCTCCTCAGTACTATAATTATGTTGGCAACTCTGTTTGTATTCGAACCCTCTAACTTGATATCTTAACCTTTTCCTCCTCAGTACTATATGTTGGCAACTCTGTTTGTATTCGAACCCTCTAACTTGATATCTTAACCTTTTCCTCCTCAGTACTATATGTTGGCAACTCTGTTTGTATTCGAACCCTCTAACTTGATATCTTAACCTTTTCCTCCTCAGTACTATATGTTGGCAACTCTGTTTGTATTCGAACCCTCTAACTTGATATCTTAACCTTTTCCTCCTCAGTACTATATGTTGGCAACTCTGTTTGTATTCGAACCCCTCTAACTTGATATCTTAACCTTTTCCTCCTCAGTACTATATGTTGGCAACTCTGTTTGTATTCGAACCCCCTCTAACCACATGCTATTGATAGGTTTAACAACACTTAGGACCACATGCTCCTTGATATCTTAGCCTTTTCCTCTTCAGAAAGCAGCTGCTGTCGATTACATTGGCTGTTTTCAGTTAAGAGGTCCTCAGCTGTTGTTTGCGCTAAGTACCAATCGATTTGGAAATAACAATTGTTTGTTTAATACGCGACGACGATATTCGCGACTCGGAAAAATGAGCGTGTGTGTGTGTGTGCGTGCGTGCAAAATACGGAGTACCATTAGTGGTGAGCTGAGAATTGTAATGTGTTGAAGTAGGAGGTTGGAATAGCAGTGCTATCTCTCCCTATCTCTCCTCTTTTTTATTTAACTGTCTCCCTTCCAAGTAAGGGTTTGAACGGTTTTGCATTTTTTGTAGGCACGCGAGAAAACGAAATGACAAACCAACCATCCATAGTAGATAGACTAATACTATATACGTATACGTATACATATCTACAGGTTTGTACGGCCGTAACCAAGGACGGTGACACTACACTAATGACACTTGTCCACAACCCAAAGGTGATGGCGTCTCTCCAACAGGCCAGCAGGTGCCGGGAAGACGACACGCCCCCTGCACCAGGTCCGATTCCGGTTCCAAATATCTTTCCCTGGTCTCATTCCTGTTCCAGTCCCTGTCTAATTCTGTACTTGTGGTAACTTTACTTACATATAATACTACGGTGGGAACCCTCCTCTCTAAGGACACTCCTGAAAGGAGGACATCATCTCTAATAAGGACACCTTTTCTTTCCTCAAAAGCAGCTTGCATGCATATGGTATACATTCAACCTGCCTATTGTGACAACCCTGTAAGATCAATAAAGACTACTTGATATGAAGTACTGTACAGTATTAGGTCCCAATAATGCTTGTATCATTATATAAGAAAAAAGTAAAAAACTTCCTTAAAATATTTTACTGAAGTGTACCAATAATTATACAGGTTTTCCTTCATCACTTCTTGCATTGTCGGACATACTCGAAGGTCGCCATTCCACGTCACTCCAGCAGTATGGAACCGAGACCAGGAAGAAAACTGGCCACACCCCCAACAAGGTCCCCGGTGGTTTGTTTACTGGTTCCTGTGGCGACGAGACTCCGTCGTCGTCCCTAGCAACCAAACCCAGACCCAGCCCACTGCTAGTTTCGTCAACGTCTCACGCTATACAAAAACCAGTTTTGAAAACTAGTTCTACTGGTACATCGGAAATGGGTACACGCAATAGTGGTCCAGTTGCTATCCAGGAATTCCCCAAAATCTTGGGAATTTTGAAAAAAGAGGACAAAATCATAGCAAACTTTGCTGCCGGCAAAAGCCAGGAGCCTTCCACTTCCAATTTCGACCTTTTGACCTCCGTTTTCAGAGGGACCGAACCTGTCGAAACAGAAAACATTAAAACAACAACAACAACAACAACAACAACACGAGCAACAAACTAAACAAAAGGGAACGGAAGGAGAGCATTCGTCGAGTGGTGCTACCGCAGTTGTCGGTTCGGGCGGCGAGGCGTCCCATTCCCATTCCACTGAATCTGGAACCGGTCTGCGACTGGCACAGTACACACTGGACAGTGTACCTGAAGCCCAGGTTACGCAATCGCGTTACTCCTCTCGTCTCCTTGAGCTAATGTCTTCTGCCAAAAATACGCTACTAACAAAACCTTTGCCGTCCGAAACACAGGGATTTACGACAATCGATTTGGCAGTTAACCCCAAAGAAACTGATGCGAGCTCAGGTGAGCTTGTAAGATACCCGTCACGATTGTATTTAACCCCTTGTTTGTCTCTCGTGTCGTAGCGTCGACTGCGAGTGATTCCGTTAGAGCGAGTGGAGCAGAGCATTTTCAGGAGGGGATTCGGAGATTGATGTAAGTTGGCCTTCGAACCTCAAAGTTTTGTTCAGATTTCTTGACGTATCTTCACGGTTGATTAATGACCATACGTTTGTTCTAATAATATAGACCGCTTTTGTTCTTGTCCTGATTAGAAGGGTTTTACTCATAATTTGTATGTACAACACACAGTCTTGTGGGGATGAATCTCATTAGTTCAGAACCACAAGTGCTGCGCTCATGTCAGCCTTTATAAACTCGTGATGCCAGATAGAGAAGTTGCAGTATGCTCTGCTGATGAGGGCCAACAAGACCGTCCAGAGCTCCACATCTTTTTTCTCTTGGCATCACATGGTTTTTTCTATGTGTGCAGGAACTTACAACTTCATTTCTACCTGAGGGGTCTCCTGATCAAGCCTGATGATATGCCGGTGGTGAAAAACGCTCCCCTCGATTGTCTGGAGTTTTTCCACCATTGGTTTGCCGCCTGTGTTAAGAAAATGGTTGGTCGGTTTTTGGGAGATGTTTGAAACAGAATTGCTCTATCTCCAGTCTCTCTCTATATTCACTCTTTCTGCTTCTCCACCTCCCTCTCCCTTTTCTTCTTTCCTTGTCTTGTCTCCTCTCTCTTATCTAACTCTTTCCCCACTGTTTTTCTCCCTCCACTTCCCTCTCTCCCTTCACTATCTCTCTTTTGCTCAATCTTCTATTTTCCTTCTAACTTCACTCTCCCTCTTCTTCTCTTCGTCTTTTCTCCTTCTTCACTCCTCTCTCTTCTCTTCTTCCCTCTTTCTCTCATTCCCTAATCACCCCCTCTCTCTCTCTCTCTCTCTCTCTCTCCTCTCTTGCTTCCCTCCATCAGAAAGAACAACACAGTTTCCCGCTAGACCCTGAAAAACTCGACGTCGTCCGTGAAATAATGGCTGACAAGCCACAGGGAGATTTTGAAATGTATCTCTCCATTGCAATGAGTGGACTGAGGATTATGGTACGATAATGATGTCATCGAAGATAATATTTAAAATTTATGTAGTTTACATTTTAGAGCCGTTATGACTACAGAAGACCCATCCCAAAATACATATTTCCCACTACATTGAGAATTGGTTCAATTGCTGTACTTTTTCCTTTTGTAGTTAATTGAATGTGATGATCCGGCAAGAGTAATCGCCTCATCTGCTGCCTTGGCAACCGATAAACAATCTCAGGGATCGACGTCGTCAGAGTCAGATGTAGTCATGGAAGCACAGCCAACGACATCTTCCTCGTCGGTCGCTACGCCAACAACAGATGAACCATCCGAAATGCAACCGCCGACAACAACACCTGATGCAGGGGTTGCCATAGAAACAGCACCTAGCAATGCAGCCGGTGCCCAAGACCATGAGTCTGGTGGTGGAAATAAATTTAAACCAAAGTCTCTATTTTCAGTGGAAACAAGAAACTCTGAGAATGATTTTCTCTCTCCTCTTTTTACGAACTGGCCTTGTATTGTGACAACTGTCCTGGGATGCTACCCTCCTGCCCCATCCGTGGATCGCGCAACCCTCCCTCAGCAAAGAGACCAAGGCATCGGGCAACCAGGCGACCCATTGCAGGATTGGCCGTCCCAGAGTAAAGGATTATCTTCGGTTCAATCCATCGATAGCTTCACTTCTCACTTTGTGCTAAACTGTGACGAAACATCCATTGAAAATTTCACATCCACGATTGTCGAAAAGATCAATTCGTGTTTAGCCGAATCAAATCAGTGTTCGGTTGATATCCTTGATCTGAGTGTACACGACGTCAACATGAGACTGGTTGACGACAGGGTCATCCCCATTCTGGTCGGGAAACGGTTCCTGGATTCGGTGATCCGGGTACTCGGAATGGAGCACAGCAGAGTGAAGAACACGTTTGTAGAGATGCAGCAACTACGATCTCGTGGAGGAGAGGGGGAGGGGTCTGGCGGAAGGAGAACCGGAGGAGGGAGAGAGGGAGGAGGGAGAGGGTTAAGGTCTGAAATTGACAGTGGTCGTAGTTCTTCAGCTCTACCTCAAGATATCGTGAAAGTCACAAAGTAAGTCTAAAAGTATATTATTGAACTAAACGTGTTTTTAGGATTTTTCTGCCTTAACCTCTTCTTACCTTAGCCCTACAAATCTCAACCTATTTAACCCTATCCCTACAAATCTCAACCTATTTAACCCTATCCCTACAACTCTAAACCTATTTAACCCTATCCCTACAAATCTCAACCTATTTAACCCTATCCCTACAAATCTCAACCCATTTAACCCTGTCCCTACAACTCTCAACCTATCAGATCAATTCTGGCCAAATTTTCGTGGCTGGCGGTTGCTTCTCTATCTCGCTCGGCCGACATGGCTGCAACGCCCGTGACTCTGGGGATTTCGAAACCGATGGGAGCTAGTTCTGTGTCCGCCGAGTATAGCGCCGGTGGTCCGAGACATGGGGGGACCTCTTCTTACAGAGGGACGCACAGGTGAGAGAGAGAGAGAAAGAGGGAGGGAGGGGGGGCGGCTGAAGTAGGAAGGCAAACAATTTCTTGCAAGGTGGTAAATGTTTTGAGCAAATCATTGTTATGGATGCTACTGCTTACACGTAATTTTGCACTCAATCGGATCGCTTTAGAAATGGTATTCTCTGCCTTTTAGATATCAAACGGTATTTTTGACATATTTCTACATAATTGCGTTCGTTGCCCCAGGCAACCAGAGGATTTGAGCTGGTCCCATCAGCGACAGCTGCACGTTCGTTCAGCCTACCACACCCTCAACCTCCCTCCCCTCCCCTCCAACCCCCTCCTCCCTCCTTCCGAAGGGATCACCCTCCGTCCCGTTGCCCGATCGGATGTCCCGAGTTCAGATCGGGCGTCCGGTTCTGCGACGGGCGAGGTTCTCGCTACAGAGGTAGAAATGGGTTCGGGTCACGACAGCAGTTTCGATGAAGAAGGCATCTCGGATCAGGACGCTGAGAGACCAGGTAACAACAGCCAGTTTACGTAGTTGTCAATGTTTTCTCTAACTACATGCCCCCCAGAAATTATGTTACTAAAAATGGAAAACTAATTACATTCTTGCACTGGGCCCTATTGTTTAGCTCTATCTTTAGTAACATTTCTTAATTTAGCCATTACATGCTGTCAAATTCCATTTTTAGTCCACGATTTGTTGAATGTGTCGCTTACACTTTTAACAAAGCGGAGAGTTCCTTTACACCAGTGAATCTGGTAAACACTTCTCCTCTCTCCCTCCCTCTCTCTCTCTCTCTCTCTCCTCAGGTTCATCGTTTCTTCATTCACCGTCCGACGCCGCCTCGTACATTCCCATGTCTCCCACAAACCTGTCCAACCTGATTGACCCGCACCTCCTAGGAGTGTGGAGCTCGTCAAGCTCGTCTGACGAGGACGGATTCAACACTGAGACCTTCTTCACCTTTGAGGAGGCCGCTGACACTTCGCGTAAGAACACACCGTTTTTCATCTTTTGTTGGTGCATTATTCGTTAGTATACTCAATGCTTCTCTAATTACCCGTGTACTACATACACATGTTTAACCCTTTCCCTCCAGCATGTTTAACCCTTTTCCCTCCCGCATGTTTAACCCTTTTCCCTCCAGCATGTTTAACCCTTTTCCCTCCAGCATGTTTAACCCTTTCCCTCCAGCATGTTTAACCCTTTCCCTCCAGCATGTTTAACCCTTTTCCTCCAGCATTTTTAACCCTTTTCCCTCCAGCATGTTTAACCCTTTTCCCTCCAGCATGTTTAACCCTTTCCCTCCAGCATGTTTAACCCTTTCCCTCCAGCATGTTTAACCCTTTTCCCTCCAGCATGTTTAACCCTTTCCCCTCCAGCTCCGAGGCCGAGAGAGCAAGCCCTCGCCTCTCCTGACAACATCTACCCGTTTGCCTGGGCTCTGGACGGACGGAGGATCGGAGAATCGTCTAATTCTTCCTTTAGAAGCGACTCACCGTCGCATTTCTTGGTGAGGAGATCTGGCATACCCCGTTCAATGATTTACGCACGAAAACGATTGAAGATGTTACCATTCCATACTCCAACTGTAATCAAAGTATTAAGCATAGTTGGGTTGTCTCTTTTTCCACTCATGTGCCTACAACAAATGAAAAATCGTTGACACCCCTATTTAGGGGGGGGGACAGCAAAATAATAATATGGCCAAGTGCAAGAATGCAGTTTCCATTTCTAGTAACTTTTTTTCAATTTATCCCTTATTACTTATTATAAATACTGCCACAATAAATTACATACATAATGTGTTTCTCTCTCTCTCTCTCTTCTTCGTACTTCTGTTGCCCCCGGTAACGGCCCCCAGTTCGGAGGTCACCACGAGCAGAACATGCCTCTCTTCACCATCCCTAGTGTCAGGTTCGGGGCCGGTTTTCTCTCCAGAACTTTCTCCCGTTTCGTAAAGGACCTCGTCGATATCGCTGTTACCATCTGCGACGACAAAACCACCAAGGTACGTACATGTCTCAACAACTTGGTAGCGAGGTAGAAAGGCAGAGGCAAGGCAAACAAGTCAACTACACCCAGGACAGCTCTTTCTTTTCAAAGAAAAGAAGAAGAGTTGCCCTGGGTGGGATTCGAACCCACGACACTCTCCAGTCTAGGCGAGCGCTCTACCAACTATCATAAATATTTCGTTTTTTGAATCCTAAAAATTGCATTTTCCCCGAGTGAGTCTAATAAATACCGTTTGTTCAAATTTCGCCGGTTAAATTTTCGTTTCAGACAAAGTTGGTGTTGCCGGCGAAACTGCAGTGTCACCTAGTGAGGCAGACTCTATCCCAATTGGAGAGCACCTGGAGATGGGTGATAAAAGTACTGGATGTTGCCGAGGGCCAGCTGCAGCGGGGGCAAAACTTTGATGTTCAGGTTTGAGGAGTAAAGGTCTTTTTGATGTGTGCAAATGTAAAGTATCGTGCTTAAACGCTTAGCTGCTAATGTATATGCTGTGGTCTTTTGAGGTTTGGTCCTTAAAACATTCTTTCCTCCTTCCCTCTCTCCTTCTCTTATTTCACCTCTCGTCTTTATCTCTCTGTTCTCTCCCTCCCTCTCTCTTTCCGTCTCTCCCCCCTCCCCACCCCTCCTTTTCTTCCTCTCCCTCCCTCCTTCCTCTCTCGTCAACAGCGTCACGTGATGTCACTCCGTAGCGACGGCCCCACCCCCACGACATCATCGCACACTCCCTCCCACGACTCGTATCGCAGTTTCATCGGTTCAACTCCAGCAGAGTACATGACCTATCTCCTGAGAGCCCATGCCAAGGAGGACACAGATTGTCTGCCTGTTATTGACCTTTACGGGTTAGTACAGTGGAACCTCTGAACAAGGGACACTATTGGGCCAACGATTTTGTCCGTTGTAGAGTGGTCGTCCCTATCTCGGAGGTCAAATAGTATTAGCATAGTGTTGAAACAAGTGTCCTTTGTAGAGAGGTCGTCCCTATTTCAGAGGGTCCCTTATCGGAGTAATTTTAAGACGTCCATGCCATTGTGTACTAGCCATACAACGCTTATCCTGAACAACATTTTCCAAATATTAATCTCTCTTTTCTTTTAGGTATGAACATGTTGTGTTTGTGTTGGATGCTCTCATATACACACTCACCCACTGGCCCAAAGCTGCAGTCGTTCAAACCGACCAATCAAATCAATCGAACCCCGCGACGACATCACCTCCGTCCTCCGGCAACCAATCAACCAATCAAAACACGGGAACAGAGCCACTCCAAATGGAGCACACCTCGGCGACCGACATGGATACAGCTGTCGCTAGGGACGAACGGTTTTTCAAGCGCAGTGAGTCGATCCTGGCGAGCAGCGGGACCTCTGAGAGCGAGGGGGACCACGAAACCCAAAAATCGAACCAGAATTTTTTCGGCCCCCGGAGGGCGCTCATCGAATCGCCCGACTTTGTGGGGAACGAGAGTTTTTTCGGTGGGGGGGCATCGGAGGGTCAATTTTCGCAGCCGTTGAGCGAAGCTTATCCGTTGGCACAGCAACCGCATCTCCTGAAGCCAAACGCGAAGAAGGAACAGTTGTTCAGTACTCCGGGGAGGTTGGGAGGGGAGGGAGAGGGGGGAGGAGGGGGAGAGGGGAGAGAGGAGAGGAGGACGGGGAGGAGGGAGCTGCCTGTTTCTTACGACAGCAGTGAGGGAAGGTGAGATGTATACACAACATGTACATGTTAGTGAAATAATCTCTAATTAATGCTCACTTGTGGGTTATAATAATAGTGATTAAGCGGAGAGTGCGTGAACAAAGAGGTTGTGTAACTCCACATTCCTACCGGCAAGGTTAACGGAACAACGCGAACGGACTTTAGTAGTAGGTCGCACAAAGGCACCTGAAAGGAAACAAAAGCCCTGCTTCACCATACCACACAGCGCATGATGTCCAGGTTTCTCATCAAAAGTCCCTAGCTGCTCTTTCCCCTTTGAGGGTGACTGACACTCCCCCACAGGAAATCAACGTGATAAATGTTACTCTAAGGGTTAGCGCCTCCCAGGAATCTTGATAATTTTGTCAACAGGTGGAAGCCCCCCCCCCACCTTGATAAATGTTACTCTAAGGGTTAGCGCCTCCCAGGAATCTTGATAATTTTGTCAACAGGTGGAAGCCCCCCCCCCACCTTGATAAATGTTACTCTAAGGGTTAGCGCCTCCCAGGAATCTTGATAATTTTGTCAACAGGTGGAAGCCCCCCCCCCCACCTTGATAAATGTTACTCTCAGGAAGCCAAGGTGACAATTACAACTGTTAAAAGTGTGGCATGTTGACTATATATAGGTTACACTATGCCCACAAGAAGGTTTAGTGGACATACACTACAGTGCTGCTGCAGAGTAGTGTATGTCCACTAAACCGTCTAGTGGGTGTAGTGTAATGAATGGTCACCTTATCACTGTAGTAGTGGGGGAGAAGTCATGTACAAAAGGCTGTGTTTGTCAGTTAGCAGCTCAGTTGCAACTGCAGTTCACTCCGAAAGCAACACCGGGATTTCGAGAAGTTGTATCGCTTCAGTCGACCATCAGTTTCTGGTCAAAGAAAGGACCATCGTTTTTCAAACAATGGCTCACAGTTACGACACTTACTTTGACTGGACAATCGGTGCTCCCATAGTCTTTACAGTTGTTGTCTGCTTCATCGTAATTGGCCTGTACATCGCCTACATCCTTTCAGGCAGCTTGTTTTTGAGAAGTATTTTATTTTATTTTGTGAAGTCTTTGGCTTTTGATAAGGGGGTAGAAGAAGGCAGTGAAGCAAGCAGCAGTGAAGAAAGCAGCAGTGAAGAAAGCAGCAGTGAAGAAAGCAGCAGTGAAAACGAAGAGCGTTGTTCACGTAAAATACCGTGGGCACTGTATAAGCACAATATTTTATCGCCAGGCGAGGTTTGTAACCTGATTATTGTTGCATATGTCTCCGTGTGCTGTGTCTTTATCTCATTTTGGGCCACATTTTTGGTCGAAGAGACCCACGTCTGCGATCGATCCCTCGACTGTTTTGTGACCAACTCCTCGACGCTGAGATTCGAATCTGCACCGAGGGAACCCATACAAGATTGCAGTCTTGTTGATAACAATGATACGATTGTGTGTTTCGAATTTGTTTTTGATGTGACAGGAGGTCTTGCATCGGCCTTTGGATTTCTTACGTTTCTTATTGCCTATATTCATATTGTCAGCTCCATAACTATAGGAGTTCTTAAGGAAGTTCGCCAAGCCGATAATGTTGACAGTTCCCTAAAATATTGTTGTTTCACCTGTGGTATCTCTTATTTTCCCACCATTCTTATGATAGTTACTGTCGCAGTCATTGTTATAATTGTAAAGGTACCGATTTTAAACAACGCAGCCTTTATGACAGCAGAAAGCACTCTGATATTTGTTTCTTATACAATTTGTTTTTTGTACGTCGGACCTCTCTCGAGTTCTGTGATAACTGTGATTGGATATTTCAGAAAAGGTCTCTCTTGTTAGCGTCCCATACCTGACCTGTGCAAGAAATGTCGGCCTCAACAAAAAGTTCCTCATGTGAAAACTAATATTTGTGCATAATTATAATTATGCAGTGTATAATTTTGTACAATGCCATCTCTTAATGTCTGTATTTACACATGCAAGAAAACCTTGACGCACACTTCTAACTGAAGTTAATCGCTTGTTTGCTATGGAATGCTCATTTTAAGTCACTAATACATGGGTTGCTATATAGTAGCTGGTGAGTAGGTTGTAGGAGATGTCGAAAAGCACAATGAGAATTAGTGTATCTTTCCGAGAGAATGAATTCTAAAGAGACATTCCTAATTCTTGTGTGCGATCGACCGCGAACCCAAGGCTGAGTGGGACACACCCTTGCTGATTTAGTAATTGTAAGTAATTTCATACTCTTTACTGAATCAGCAAACATACGTATATATGAATGTCAGCTTAATAAAGGAATTTAAGGTGTGCTAGAGCAGCAGTAGTTAATCATTACCCTGTTGCTACATATGGCCAATCTCTTTAGTTAACCTTCAGTGAGCTACAGTACGTGCAACTGGATTGAGAAGCAACTGTTGAAGATGGCTACGGGCTATGGTTATGCGGCCTACAATAACTGGGGATTTTTTGTTCCTTTCATCGCCGGCCTTTTCATGCTACTTTTCCACATTTTTATACCTGTCGTCATCTTGGATTTGGAAGGTGCTGCAGCTACGATCCATTCATTGGTCGTTTATACAAGAATCGTCCTATGACGAGCTCTTAAAATTGACGATGAAAACCATAAGATCACTTTTCATGGTTACGAGATACCTACGAGTCGATTGTATCCAATATCCTTCATCACAACCTTGGTGGTTTTTTGTTCGTTTCTCTCTTTCTGGGTTTCGTTTTTATTCGACGAGACGTTCGTCTGTGATCCAAACCTCGATTGTTTCGTGGCAAACACGTCGTCATCTACTCCGAAATTTGAGGACTTTGTTAGAGTGCACGATTGTGGCCAGATTGAAGAAAATGCTACAGTGGCATGTTTCGAGTTTGTGTTTGACACTGTTGGAGGATTTTCGTACGCAGTTGGGTTTTTTGGTGTATCCGTTGCCTACATTGGCGTATACAGCAGCGTTTTGATATGGCTGATGGAGAAGTCGTTGTCTCCTGCTATTAGAAAGTCAGCTACTAAGTGTTGTGTCGTGTTCTGCTGGGTGCTCTTGCTTTTTGTACCCATAATATTTCTTTTTATACTCGCTGCAGTTCCATTGTTTCGTGATCCAGCTCTCAAAACGAGGGAGAATTTGTTCAAATTTTATGCTTATTGGTTTTGTTTCGGATTTGGTGGTCCGATTTTTGCCAGTTATATAACCAAGTATCTTTTTAAACCCATTAAATCAAAAATGAAAGGAAATGCCAACGTTGGGGCTAGAAGACGAATTATTTTGGAGCGTTGGTGGAATGTATACCATGTAAATAAGGCGGACAATGCCCCCAATAACCGAGACGGCATCAATACCTGAGCTTGTACACACTTTGATTTTTAAAGACTGAGTTGACTAGTATTGGTTGCATAAAATTTATGTATGTACATATGGAGCCGTATCTTGTAATGCTGTAAAAAAGTTTGTTATTACCACTTGAGTTATAAAGCTACGAGTTGGAGTGTTCTCATTATTAGACGACTTCTCTTTGATGATGTCAAGTTGTGTGTGCTGTGTGTACATAATTATTCCTCTTGACTAGTTTTTGGTTGTAATGTTAACCAAGATGCTTGTAGTTAACAAGTAAGGTGAAATAGTGAAATGATGTGTGCGCATACTATGAATTGTCTTGTGTACTCAATATAAATTTTGAGCGTTTTTAGTCATTCTCCTTGGGACAAAGAACCTCATAGTGAGTGGCATGTACCTTCGCTCCCCTCCCCTGTGCAGTGCCCCGGCCATCCTACCTCCCGTGACCCTCTCTCTCTCGGTCGACACGGCTCTCCAGAGGTGGCACAACTGCATCAGTGTCTTTGCCCACGTCTTCCTGGCCGAGGGACCCGGAGGAGAGAGAGATAACTTCCTCAACGCCAGAGCCGGGTTTGCCAGTCGTATGGCCAGGTCAGTGAGATGAGATGAGAGTAAAGTTTAGAGCTCCTGAAAGGTATTGGGCTAAGTTCACAATATGTCACATTGGCCCATCGCGCCGTGCCGCAAGGATACACTCCATTTCTATCTTCGCGGCAGGACGTGACGTGACACGGCACAACGGGGCAATGCGCCATATATGGTGAACCTAGCCTAATTTCCAATGTATAGCTAAAGTGCATTGGCCATTACATGTGCCGTTGTCTATAAGAACGATAGAATGATATAGCTATACACTTCCTTATCAGGATTTATGATCTAAGAGATAAGTATATACACATGCTGTCCGTATTCATGTTTTTCCTTTACTGAATGCTGCTTTAACCCTTTCTCTCCGGCAGGTTCAGACAGCAGGTGAGTCAGCTGTACGATGCGGCCATGACCCACCGGGAATGGAGCAGCTCAGTGTCCAACTCCCTCTCCCTCAAGATTAGGAGGGACTTCCTCCTACAAGATGCCTTGGAGAACATGCAACAGGCGAGCTTTAAGCAGTATAATGAAAGGAAAGGAAGGAAATGAAAATTTAGATTAATGCTACTAAAAGTGGCAACGTCATTGACTTATTGAGTAACTCTCTTCTCTTGTAGCTCACAAAGTTCCACTATTCTCAAGTGAGGGTGAAGTTCGAGGGGGAGGAAGGATCGGGTCCAGGAGTCAACCGAGGGTTCTTCTCCAGTCTGGCCAATGAACTCAAGTCCTCCGACACTTCAAAACCAGTTCTGAAACAGGTTTGACTCGTGCTTACATCAGCATAGAGGACAATATTACCGTACTATAGTGTTCATCCAAACCAGTTCTGAAACAGGTTTGACTGGTCCTCAACTGGCCTACTACCTACTATAGCCTTGAGGACAACTATTATATATAGCATTCTTCGTTGCCCATTTACTTTAAAGCAAAGTCCATACTGTGTCCCTTTTTTCTCCTCTCTCTCCCTCCCTCCCTCTCCTCTCTCCCTCTCTCCCTCTCCTCTCTCCTTCCCTCTCCTCCCTCCCTCCCTCACCAAGGTGGGTGTTCTACTCTCGGAGCCAGGCAAACAACCGGAACAGAGTGGTCTCTTTGCTCCTTGTCCCTTTCTGCCTTCTCACAGCATTTCTCCCTCAAAACTTACCACCATCAGGGTAAGTGCATCAGGGTATATATAAGTGCTCAGCCTACACAAACAGAAAATATACTTTTTCTCTCTATATACTATGATATCTGCAGGAGCAGAGAAGGAAGTATTTCCGAGCCGTGGGCAGATTCTTGGGTCTGTGTTTCTGGTTCAGATATACCATTCCCCTTATGGTGTGCAGACATGTGGCCAAATATCTCCTGGGAAGGTACGTATGTAGGTACTTACTTGTTAAAGGGAATTTAGCGGTATATAAGGCTAAATTTAGAAGTGCTACTAAAGATAGAGCAAAACAATAGGGGCACAGTGAAAGAATGCAATTTTGAGTTCCGTTTTTAGTAAAATTTTTTCGAAATTTAGCCCTTATAATTATACTGCCACATGACACTAGTTTTGAACTTCAATTCTTACATTTTCCCATTTTCCCTTTCTCTACGCTGTTACTAGTTCACTATTTCTTCTGCAGGGACTTGGCGTGGCACGATCTGGCGTTCTACAACGCGGATCTCTACGAGGGGCTGCGAAGAATGCTCCAAGACGTTCAGGAGGAAAAGAAATCAGAGGAAGATTTTACCAACACCTACTGTTGCTACTTTGAGGTATACAATATACAGTGGAACTAGCTACCAACTAAGTATTGCTACTAATAAAGTGCTAATCTGGACACCAATGGGACAGAAGAAGGTGTCCATATTAGTGAGGTGTCCTCATTTCAGGGGTTGAATTGCACGCAAGAACTGTTCTTGGGGAAAGAAAAGGTGTCCTTATTAGAGAGGTGTCCTCATTTCAGGGGTGTCCTTAGAAAGGAGTTCCTCCATAATGAGAAGTTCTATGACTGGAGTGAGAAATGTGTTAAAGTTGATCCCTCCTTCCTTTTACAGGCCCCTCTGTCGGGCTCAGTAGAGCCATTTCTGGTGGACCTGATTCCAGGAGGCTCCAAGATACCTGTCACTCCCGATCGAGTCCAGGAATACGTCAGGTCCGAAACCAGTTTTAAACCGGTTTTTAAAACGTGTAATCCCTGGTTGAACTATTACACAGGTTGTATGCGACGTTCATGATGTACGGATGTGTCCGCGACGAGCTGAAGGCCATGAAAGAGGGACTCAATGATGTCATACCTCCAGAGCTTCTATCAGGACTCACTGCCGAGGTCTGTGTCATTAATTTGTCACTTGTCATTTCGTCATTCCGGCCATGCAATCAAAATATTTTACAAATTGCGCATCAGTGTCTCAGTATGGACTTTGTCCATTTCGTACTCTTTATAGCTGTATATGTCGTACTTCCTTTAACACTGTCTTTTGAACACTCGGGTTTGTCTTCTTTCGCTCTTTTAACTTCTGAAGTGTCCCTCTTCCTCACTCTTAAACCCAGGATTTCCTCCTATATTCATTTTCTAGCTCATATACTTCCGTCCTTCCTTCAGCCCGTAGCCAACTCCCCATTCGTTCTTTCTTCTATGTACGTACCTCACATGACGTAAATCACTTCTCATTTCCCACTATTTCCTCTCAAATCCAGGATTTCCAGTTGCTACTCTCGGGAGGGTCGGCCAGCATATCTCTCTCGCGACTCAAATCAGTCATTCGGTTCAACCACACCCACGGGAGCTCGCCCACAGTCTGCGACAGATTTGAAAAGTTAGGAAAAACCCTTTTCGATCCTTGTTACTTCATTAACCCTCGGTGCGGGTGTGCAGCGAGGGTTACGGTACTTGACTAGGTTTTTGAGTTACGAATTACTCAATGAAAAACAATGAAGAACCCAACCCATTTGTTAATGGAGCAATTCTGAAAGTTTACTAGTAGCTAGTACTGCATGCTGCTTAGTGCTTCCCAGATATATTATGTTATACATACCAACTGGCCATTTTATGCTTTAATGAATAAGACGGACGGACAGACCCAACTACTGTAACCCTCGCTGCGCATGCACGCCGAGAGTTAATAAGAGTCACCTGTGGATAAAGGTCAAAGGTGTTAGAAGCTGCACATCTTGAAATGTGTTGGTATTTCTATTCTCTGGTGTCCAGGATGTTCTGGAGGGTTGTCAGTCACATGACCAACACTCAGAGACAAGAGCTCCTCTATTTCGCAACCGGCAGCGGGGCCCTCCCTTCGTCTTCCGAGTCTAACGATCAAAATCCAGGTTAGAGCACATACTATACTATATGGGCAAATTCTGCATCTGATATCCAATAGTAAGCTGAAAAGCACTTAGCCCTTTGGATGCCATGAGGATCTGCTTAAATAAGCAGAAATTGGTGTATGTATAGTGTATTAGCGCCTAGTATTATAGCCCCCATACAAATTCTTATGGACTTATGGAGGCTCTGGACACATTTATGTGTCCATGGCTGGTTAAGTGTTAACATGAAGCATTCACTCTAGACGCGGGCGGATTCCATGCTAGCTACATACAAGCCTCGTTTGTTGCCCTTCCTCCCACACGTAATTACATGGAACCACATCTTGTATATATCTTTCTACGTTGCATACCCGTACATTTCTACGTATCTTTTCCTCCAGCCATCCAGATAACAATCAACGTGATAGGGACGGGCAACACCAAATCTCTGCCAGTGGCCTCCACATGTAGCCAGCGAATGTCGATCCCTCTCTATCCTTCCTACCTCATTCTCAAGAAGAAACTCCTGCAAGCCATCCAGTGCCAGGCTTACGGTCTTGGGTAATATTATTACATTGTCGTTGAACTCTACTACTACATCTTTCTCTCACATTACTTATTATTGCATTTTCTTACGTCATCTGCACTTCTTCCTCTCTCGAATGTTACTTTTGTTCAAAAATTATCATTTTATGCGAGCAAGCGGACTATAATAGAGTGTAACCTATTAATATTGATGTTGCATCAAATAATCATGAACTCTGGTGCACAACCGGCTATCTTCATTGTGCTCTGTTTACATAGCCTAGATAGTTTACACAGGCTGCCATTGAAGTGTTAATGGTAGTAAAACACAGCAGCCTATTGTTTAACCATGTATGGTGGGCTTTATTTAGAAGTTTGTCCGTTCTCAAGCCTGCATTTGATAAAGATGGTTGATTTAGAAGCTAATGTTAGCTCCGATGTAGAGTTAGACTGACACTCTTCTTCGAATAGTGTCTTCAGAGTGTGAACCAATAATCATGGGGGTCGGCCACGATATTGGGACCTACTACAAGTGGGCGGTCCTGATTCCTGTCTCCATGGGAATCACGGTGGTTGCCGTAGCGATGCTCCCCCTCGTGTTCGTCTACCTTATCGAGAAGTGCTCCTGTAATCACTTCACGACCTTTTTTTTCGTCTACTCGAAAGTCATCTACAGGGACGCTCTCAAGATAAAGAAGAACCCGCCGCGAATCTTGTTCCACAGCTACGAGATATCCAACTGGCACGTGATTCAGTTCTCGACCGTCATCTCCATGTTTATATTTGCCGTCTTCGTGTCATTCTGGTCTTCGTTCCTATTGGAGTCCACCTACACTTGCAACCCGACACTCGACTGCTTCTTTAGAAACTCGACCGTCTGGGTAAACAAGAAGATCGTGGAAGACTGCAAGAACATCGATTCAAGCGTCACCATTGTTTGTTACCAGTTCGTGTTAAATGCGACAAAAGGCTTTTCTTCAAGTGTTGGTTTTCTAGCGGTTGCTGTCATGTACATTTATGTCTACGGTTACCTTGTCCTTTGGTTGATGGAGATCGTTCTTTCACCGAGGTTGCTAGCATCGGTGCAAAACTCTGCTCGGCGATTGGATGGACACTGTTGATCGTTTTCCCGTTGATAGTTGCCGTGGTTGCGGTCGTTGTCATGTACAGTGATAAGATCCTGGCGGAGATAACGTTCAAGAATTTCGACAGCGAAGTCATTTTCGTTACCTATTGGTTGTTTTTCGTGTATACCGGGCCACTGTCTGCTGTGTTTGTGAGTTTTACGTTTTTGAAGCCGGTGAAAGCACAGATGCATCAAGAGTATGAGTCCGACCGTGACTTGAGAGTCAATTTATCTCTTAGTGAGAAAGAGAATAGTCATTCATCCTCCTCGTCAGCAGTTGCTTCTGGTACAAGGCCATTGCTACAGGGACAAACTTCTACTTATGCGTCAACATTAGCCTGACCATGCAATCACTTGGTTATACAAAAACGAATTTACTTAGAGAATTGTAACTCATTGTTGGCAAGCGAGGATGAGCAGTTCAAATTCTACAACTTCATAATAGGGTTTAGAAATTAGTGTTGTATATTTTGGAAAGGAAAAAAAAATCGCACCTGGCTGGGCTCGAACCAGCAACCTTTCGGTTAACAGCCGAACGCGCTAACCAATTGACGCTACAAGTGCTTGCTTGTCGCAGAAGGAAATTCAACGTATTTATACGACTTCCGCTTCCTTGCATACGCTTAGTAGACACCATCACCAAACTTAAAGTGCCCTTGGCTAATGAATGCTAAAAAGACTGAAATATATTCTAGTTAACTTGATATTGTAGCACCTTGCACAACATCAGTTGAACCCTGAACCGCCCTTGAACATTCTAGGCAGAGCACGTGTATTGCAAGTATAAAATATTGTATGTGTATGTATGTGAAAATGATCAGTCTTGTTCTCCACACATGTCCACTATTGTATTATAGCTAGCCAACACAAACTCTATTAGCACTCTTAACGGGTATCAATCTTGTAGAAATTCATCTCTTTGTCATCATGAATGTATGCATTATCATGTAAAGCCCAAATAGCTACGCAATAACAGCACCACGATAATATGGTTTCAGGAGCAAAATTAATCTTTCAGGGCTGCACAGAGAGAGCGGAAACATGAGTGGTTACCAACATACAGCAGTTTCAGATATCACAGCTCATATGTATCCCTGAACTAGTATAAAATAAGACACTTTGCCAATTGTAAACTAAGTGTTTAGGTACTATATACTCTTATTGTGTAGCACTTCATAACTTTAAACCATTATAGTTGAAGTAACCGATATTGGAGCCAGAGCAGAGAATGAAGATGCATAGAGGTTTGATAGCTGCGGTGTTGGTTGTTGTCGTCGGAGGATCATTGACGATGAATAGTGTGACTATGGCTCAAATCAACAGCCATGACAACGATGAGGGAAA